ATCCGTATACACAGGTATAACTATATCTATTCCTAAACGTGTAGGATTATATAGATATACATCTATTTATATTCGAACTGAGATTAGTCTATCAGATGTCCATTTATAATATAAGTCGAATTAGGTAACTCACGACTTTGCAACATGGGGTCTGGCGTTATCGTGTAAAGAGCAAATTCGATCCTGCTTCCTCTTGAGTTTTTCTGCAACTCGATCCAGTGGTTGACAGTATAGGTCAGCAGTGATAGTCCAACCATCAGGTAGAATTTCCCAGTGAACAATTCCATTGACACCCCATCAAACACTTAACATCACGTTCATAGGGTGTAGAGCAGTCTTCGGTGTTGCTACGCCTGTTTGATCACGACTTAGCCATTGACGTCTGTTCATGTAGTTAACATACAACACCCATTTCTCATCACCAGTGGTAAGACTGCGTAGCCATTGATAGTTACGATGAGATGTCATTAAATCCATACAAGCATCGACCCTGCATTGGAGCTGTTGTGATGATAACTCATGAGGTATCCAAACTCCATATTTCCATCTCTTGCCTAATTCGTTCAGATGTTTTTCCACCGCAGTATAGGAGCAGCCAAGCTGCTTTGCTAAATACCGTGAGGTCAATCGAGGATCTTGTTCGATGAGTTGCTTTAAGAGATCTACATCCAATTCTAATGGTCTACCAGATCGAGGTAAGTCATCGAGTTCTACCGTTCTCAAGACAATTGAACCAATGTTGTGTTGTACGAATAGAGAGTACATCATTACCCATCGTGCTGCATATGTTGTGTGCTGCTTCCGTTGCGTTGTGCCCAGATGGGATTCATAAATCGAAAGCACTCGTATCTCTCTACGAGAAAGATTTATTCTTAAATCATAGTCAACTTCCATATCGATGAATTTATTACCATTCGAAAGACATTCACACTTCCTTTATATACCCTTAGTATCGAAACTTCTAGATCTTTCTCGAATAGTTTAAAACATTTTCAAAAAAGAACGCAAGAACTTAGTTGCCAACCTAATAGATCGTGACGATAGTAGTCAATTGTTCCTTGCTTGAACGACTAGTTAATATTCGAGGTGCCCGGCTTGAATTTCGAATGCGCAATTTTTTGTGATATTTTAGTTGATCCCCTAATGAGGGAACCTCACCAACTGATACCCTCCGTTTGAGCTCATATTTTGCTCATAGATAGGGTTCATAGTGTAGATGAAAACCCTAAAAGGAATTATCCCCATGCTGCCTTTTTTGCAGAGAAAACAGACAAAGCAAGTTG